CTTGGCAATGTGGGTTCTTTTTTGGTTCCATATGAACTTTAAAGTAGTTTTTTTCCAATTCTGTGAAGAAAGTCATTGGTAGCTTGATGGGGATGTCATTGAACCTATAAATTACCTTGGGCAGTATGGCCATTTTCACGATATTGATTCTTCCTATCCATGAGCATGGAATGTTCTTCCATTTGTTTGTGTGCTCTTTTATTTCGTTGGGCAGTGGTTTGTAGCTCTCCTTGAAGAGGTCCTTCACATCCCTTGTAAGCTGGATTCCTAGGTATTTTATTCTCTTTGTAGCAATTGTGAATGAGAGTTAGCAATTGTGAATGAGAGTTCACTCTCTGTCTCTTATTGGTGTATAGGAATGCTTGTGATTTTTGCACATTGATTTTGTATCCTGAGACTTTGCTGAAGTTGCTTATCAGCTTAAGAAGATTTTGGGCTGAGATGGTGGGGTTTTCTAAATATACAATCATGTCATCTGCAAACAGGGACAATTTGACTTCCTCTTTTCCTAACTGAATATCCTTTCTTTCTCTTGCCTGATTTCTCTTGCTCCTATGTTGAATAGGAGTGATGAGAGAAGGCACCCCTGTCTTGTGCTTGTGGGAAGTCAGGGACACCAAATGGAGGGACTGGCTGGAACCATGGCAGAGGAACATAAATTGTGAAGATTTCATGGACATTCATCAGTTCCCAAATAATACTTTTATAATTTCTTATGCCTGTCTTTATGTTAATCTCTTAATCCTGTTATCTTTGTATGCTGAGGATATACATCACCTCAGGACAACTGTGATAATTCTGTTAACTGTACACGTTGATTGTAAAACATGTGTGTTTGAACCATATGAAATCAGTGCACCTTGAAAATGAACAGAATAACAGCGATTTTTAGGGAACAAGGGATGACAACCATAAAGTCTGACTGCCTGTGGGGTAGGGCAAAAAGAGCCATATTTTCCTTCTTGCAGAGAGCCTACAAACGGACATGCAAGTAGGGAAGATATCACTAAATTCTTTTCCTAGCAAGGAATATTAATATTAATACCCTGGGAAAGGAATGCATTCCTGGGGGGAGGTCTATAAATGGCCGCTCTAGGAATGTTTGTCTTGTGCAGTTGAGATAAGGACTGAGATACACCCTGGTCTCCTGCAGTGCCCTCAGGCTTACTAGCATGGGGAAAAACTCTGCCCTGGTAAATTTGTGGTCAGACCAGTTCTCTGCTCTCGAACCCTGTTTTCTGTTGTTTAAGATGTTTATCAAGACAATATGTGCACCGCTGAACATAGACCCTAATCAGTAGTTCTGCTTTTGCCCTTTGCCTTGTGATCTTTGTTGGACCCTTCTCAGTAGTTCTTCTTTTGCCCTTTGTCCTGTTCCCTCAGAAGCATGTGATCTTTGTACCTACTCCCTGTTCTTACACTCCCTTCCCTTTTGAAACCCTTAATAAAAATTTGCTGGTTTTGAGGTTCAGGTGGGTGTCACAGTCCTACCTATACGTGATGTCACCCCGGTGGCCCAGCTGTAAAATTCCTCTCTTTATACTGTATTTCTCAGCCAGCTGACACATATGGAAAATAGAAAGAACCTACATTGAAATATTGGGGGTGGGTTCCGCCAATATTGTGCCAGTTTTTAAAGGGAATGTTTCCAGTTTTTGCCCATTCAGTATGATATTTGCTGTGGGTTTGTCACAAAAAGTTATTATTTTGAGATACGTTCCATCAAAACCTAGTTTATTGAGAGTTTTTAGCATGAAGGGGTGTTGAATTTTGTCAAAGGCTTTTCTGCATCTATTGAGATAATCATGTGGTTTTCATCATTGGTTCTGTTTATGTGATGGATTACGTTTATTGATTTGCATATATTGAACCAGTCTTGCATCCCAGAGATGAAGCCAACTTGATCTTGGTGGATATGTTTTTTGATGTGCTGCTAGATTTGGTTTGCCAGTATTTTATTGAGGATTTTTCACCATTGATGCTCATCAGGGATATTGGTCTAAAATTCTCTTCTTTTGTTGTGTCTCTGCCAGGCTTTGGTATCAGGATGATGCTGGCCTCTGTCTTCTGCGTCAATCATGCTGGGAGCTGCAGACGGGAGCTGTTCCTATTCAGCCATTTTGGAATGGACTCCCAGTGAGGGAATAATTTCTAGCAGCCAAAAGATTACATCCTGCTGTGAAGGTTCAGATAATTGTTAGCATTTTGTAACAAAAAATATTTAAATTAAGATATATATATTTTTTCCTTAGATACTATTGCTCATCTAATATAGAATAAACATTATTTTTATATACAGTTGAAATTTTAAAAATTATGTCATTCATTTTATTGTGGTATTTGCTTTATATTGGTGGTCTGGAACCCGACTTTTAATAGCTATAAAATATGCCTGTGTTTTATGTCTTGTTTATCTCTTGTCAGAGTTTTTGACTAAATTTTATTTTGTTTGATCCTGGTATAGCTATCACATCTTTTCTTTGGTTACTATTTTCTTAAAATACTTATTTCTGTCCTTCATGTTCACACTATTTATGTCCTCATCTAAAGTGAGTTTCTGGTTCAGAACATACAGCTGCATCCTGGATTTTTTAAAACCCATTCTGCAAATCTTCCTTTTGATGTGGAAATTTAAGTCATTTACATTTAATGTACACTTACAATACACATAACAGAGCACATTAAGATATCATTTTACACAAGTCAGAATGACTATTCTTAAAATGTCAGAAAACAACAGATATTGGTGTTGATTCATCAGGGATGTTAATCATATATCGTGCAAACTGGAGTACAGTAGCACGACCTTGGCTCCCTGTAGCCTCTGCCTACTTAGCCTCTTGAGTAGCTGGGATTACAGACATTTGCATGGCTAGTTTTTGTATTTTTGGTAGAGACGAGGTTTTGTCATATTTGCCAGACTGGTCTCGAACACTGGATCTCAAGTGATCCACCCACCTCAGCCTCCCAAAGTGCTGGGATTACACAGGTGTGAGCCAACGTGTCTGGCCCAATCTGTTCAAATCTGCCCTCCAAAGAGAGACACAAGTAAAAATTAAGGCATGTGAGGATTATTCACCAATTTATTGTAATTAGTTTCCAGTTTTATAATATTTAACAGGATCACAAATTATATAAAATAGTTACCAGTTTTTTGGGAAGTTACTTTTGATAGTTTCTTCTAAAACTGGATGAAAGATACAAATACTATAAGGCACTGTTTGCATATTGGAAATGATGTCCAAAGACCAAACATTGTTAATAATTAATACTCTAATAAACATCATGTCAGAATTTCTGTGTTTTCTTTTTCCTTTGTACCTTTGTCAGGATTACAACGTCATCAGGACTGCATTTTCATCAGGAATGAATATTCCTTCTACAATGCAAAGAAAAAAATATATATTAGCTGATGGAAAGGTAAAAGGAGAAAGTTTCTTTTGGTTTTAATGTTTAATTTTTTTATTGTCACCTGTTAAAAAATGCTTACTAGTCACTCCTTTAAATAGTGTCATATGGCAGAAAGATGTAAAATGGTTGATCATTTATATGACATAAAATAAAGATGAAACATCGTCATGGCATGAACAAAAACGAGACTTGTTGCTAGAAGTGTTTTATAGTCTAACATATAATAATCATTCTATAAATCTGTTGGAGGAATTTATAAGATAGATAAGACAGATGATAGATTATAGATAGATAATAAATTTCCAGATAGATAGATTCCAGATAGAAAATTTTACTTTAGCAAAAAATAATTTTATTCTGACGATATAAAAATGTACTTAAGAATTATCTTTGATAAAAGCCAAGTGGACTGGATTCAATTTTCTTCACAGCCTGTGTAATATACCATCACTTGCTTCTTCCTACATGCCATTGGTCAGCCCCAGACAGTGGGCAGTGTCACATTGCCTGCCCGTTGTTTATATAACCTGTGAATATAAATGCTGGATGTTGAAGAAGGAAACAGTGTGTGCTCAGCAAAAGGAGTGACATTCAATGGATCCCAAATATCAGCGTGTGGAGCTAAATGATGGTCATTTCATGTCTGTATTATGATTTGGCACCTATGTGCCTCCAGAGGTAACATAATCATATTTTCAGTGTTGAGCATTTAAAAGAGCAAAGCTGGAATAAGTAGATGACGACCTGGGTTTTAGCCTTGTGTTCCTGTGTTACTCTGCATGATTCACTTGGTCTGTTTTAATAGGCCAGAGCTATTCCAAGTTCAATGAGAAAAGGCAGTCAATCTGTTCTGCATTGAGGTCTGGTCATATGGTCATGTACTGCTTACTTTTCTTTTGTGCACTGTTTTTTTTTCTTCTGTTTATGGGTATTCCCAGTTTTGCAGAATATTTAAAACTCAACAGTGAAGAACACTGCCTGGCATTTCCTCTTGTAGGAGATTGACTGCAGTGGAATGGTTTCTCTCTATCATTGAAGAAATTGTTTATTCTTCCAAGTGTACATGATCAAACAAAATCTTTGTGATAACAGTGTCTGGAGATGGGGTGTATGAAAACCCTTGGGGAGAGTATTGCTGAGCTGCTGTGTGGCCTTGAGCATGACAGAGTAATAATACTGGTCTTGGACTTAATACAATTTCCCATGTACAACTTTCACCTCTAGGAAAATTATCTGAAGGGAAAAATAACTTTAAGAAAAAACTAGAACCTCACAAGAGAAATTTTAAATTTGTGGTCCATGTTAATATGCATCAGATTTGTATCAAAATGGTATGGGTGGTCCCCTGACATGAAAGTAGGCAAAATGGAGACTTTATTTTCTAGACTGAACTATTTCTATACTGGAAGAAAGCATGTATTCCAAGGCTACTAAGTGTGTGAATAAGGACTAGTCACATAAAAATTTGTCTCACTTTTCTCAACTTTACATTGTAAGAATTTACAGAGAAACATCTTGAAGACATCAACACTAGCGGTTTACTTTGTAATGAAAATTGGCATGAAGGGGAAGTAAGAAAAAGCACAACATGAAAACTTTAGCTTTGGTAAACTTGAGTGCCTGCATAGCAAAGAGAAGATCAGGGCTGGTATCAGGGGAAGGCAGTGAGACCTGGCATCTAGTTCCTTTTAATATCATTGGAAATAGAAAAACTCCTGAAATACTCATATTAAAATAGAAAATTGTTCCATTTATGGCTTTGTTGTTTAAAAAATGTACCTTTCAAATATTTATCCAAATTTGATAAGTCAATCATTTTAAATTTCACTGAACTTATGTCTCCTAAAAAAAAGTTATCCTTATTTTTTAAGACTAAAGCATACTTTACTAATCTTTTACAGGTTGCAGTTAACTTTTTATGTATAAATCTACATCCTTGGAGTGTATGTTTTTACTCCTCATATATAGTTCTGGCATGGACACAGAATGGCTAATGGCTGTGTAGAAAGGAGTCAACACAATAGACTGCCACCCGTAGATGCACCTGTTTTCAAAGTTGGAGCCTGGCTGGTATCTCAGAATTTCTCACCAATCTACTCTAGATTTTATAGTTTGTGCACATAAAGGTGTTCTTAGTTGTCTTGAATGATTTTTTGTATTTCTATGATACATTTGTAATGTGTCCAGTTTCACATCTAATTGAGCTTATTTGGATCTTCTCTCTTCTTTTCTTGGTTAATCTCACTAATGGTCCAGCAAATTTGTTCCTCTTTTCAAAGAACCAGCTTTATCTTTCATTGATCTTTTGTTGGGGGTGTTTTGTTTCAATTTCATTTAGTTCTGCTCTAATATTATTTCTTCTAATATCTTTGGGTTTAGTTAGTTCCTGTTTCTCTAGTACATCTTTAGTCAATTTGTGCTCTTTCAGACTTTTTGATGTAGGCATTTAATGATATGAACTTGCCTTTTAGCTCTGCTTTTGCTGTATTCCAGAGGTTTTCATAACTTGTGTCACTACTATCATTTATTTCAAAAAATTACTGAATTGCCATTTTGATTTTATTGTTAACCCAAAATCATTCAAGAGCAGATTGTTTAATTTCCATGTATTTGTATAGTTTTGAGGGTTCCTTTCAGAGTCAATTTCTAGTTTTATTACACTGTATTCTAAGAGATACTTGATATAATTTGGATTTTCTCAAGTTTGACACTTGTTTTGTGGCCTATCATATGGTCTATCTTGCAGAATGTTCCATGTGCTGATGAGAAGAATGTATATTCTGCAGTTGGTGGGTAGAATGTTCTGTAAACATCTGTTTAGTAAACATTTTTCTAGAGTATGTGAAATCCATTGTTTCCTATTTACTTTCTGCCTTGATTATCTGACTAGCACTGCACATTGGAGTATTGAGTCCCTCACTATTACTGTGTTGCTATCCATTTCTTAAGTCTGCTAGTAATAGTTTTACAAATCTGGGAGCTCCAGTGTTAGGTGCATATAAATTTAAGATTGTAATATGTTCTTGCTAGATTGGTTCTTTTATCATTATATAATGATATTCTTTGTCTTTTTTTTCTTACTGCTGTTGCTTTAAAGTCTGTTTTGTCTGATGTAAGAGTAGCAACTCCTGCATACTTTTGGTTTCCATTTGCATGGAATCTCTTTTTCCACCTTTGTAACTTGAGTTTATCCAAATCTTTATGTGTTAGGTGAATCTCTTCAATACAGCAGGTATTTGGTTTGTAATTTATTATCCATTTCGCCATTCTGTATCTTCTAAGTGGAGCATTTAGGCCATTTATGTTCAATGTTATTACTGAGATGTGAGGTACTGTTCTTTTCATCATTTCAGTTGTTACCTAAATACTTTTGGTTGCTGTTGTGTATTGTTTTAGAGGATTCATAAGTTTTATGCTTTCAGGAGGTTCCATTGTGGTGAATAACAATCTTTTGTTTGAAGATTTAGAACTCCTTATAGCATGCTTTGTAGAATTGGTTTGATAACGTCAAATTCCTTCATCATTTGTTTTTCTAAAAATGACTTTTTTTCTCCTTCATTCATGAAACATAGTTTTGCTGGACACAAAATTTCTGGCTGACATTTATTTTGTTTAAGAAGGCTAAAGATAGGACCTCAATCCCTTCTAGTTTTTAAGTTTTCTGCTTAGAAGTTCTGTTAGTTTGATAGATTTTTCTTTTTGTTACCTGATGCTTTTTTCTCACATCTCTTAGAATTATTTCCTTCATGTTGACTTTAGATAGACTCATGACTCTGTGACTTGGTGATAATATTTTTGCAATGAATTTCCAAGGAGTTCTTTGAGCTTCTTCTATTTGGATATCTAAATCTCTAGCCAGGCCAGGGAAGTTTTTCTCAATTATTCTCTCAGGTAAGTTTTCCAAACTTTTAGACTTCTTTTCTCCCTCAGGAACACCAGTTATTCTTAGGTTTGGCTGTTTTACATAATCTCATATTTCTTAGATAATTTGTTTTTTGTTTTTTGGGGTTTTTTTTTTTGACAAGAGTCTTGCTTTGTTGCCCAGGCTGCTGGAGTGCAGGTGCGTGATCTTGGCTCACTGCTGCAACCTCTGCCTCCCAGGTTAAAGCGATTCTCCTGCCTCAGGCTCCTGAGTAGCTGGAATTGTAGGCACATGCCACTATGCTGGGCTAATTTTTGTATTTTTAGTAGAGACTGGGTTTCACCATGTTGGCCAGGCTGATCTTGAACTCCTGACCTCAAGTGATTCATCCAACTCAGCCTCTCAAAGTGCTGGGATTACAGGTGTGAGCCACCCATCCAGCCTGATTCTTCTTTATCATTGTCTGATTGGATTAATTCAAAAGCTTTGTCTTTGAGCTCTGAAATTCTTTCCTTTACTTGTTCTAGTCTATTGTTGAAACTTTCCACTGCATTTTGTATTTCCCTAAATGTGTCTTTCATTCACAGAAGTTCTGATTGGTTTTTCTTTTTGATATTTATCTCTCTGGAAAATTTTTTATTTATATCCTGAATTTTTTTTTAATTTTTTAGGTTGTTTTTCACCTTTCTGTGATATCTCCTTGAGTAGCTTAATAATGAACCCTCTGAATTCATTATCTGGTATTTCAAATATTTTATCTTAGTTTGGATTTATTGCTGGGGAACTAGTGTGATCTTTTTGGGGTGACTTGGGTGACCCCAGGGTTTGGGATTGACAAAATCTTGTTTTGTCATATTACCATAATTACTTTTCTGATGTCCTCTCATTTTGCTAGATTATTTCTTCTAATTATTCTTGAATTCATTTTTGATTTCCCTGTTTTTCTTTAATTTCTTTTTTCCCTTTTAAGGATCTGCCTTTAATATTTATAGTTTATAATAGCCTAATTGGGTTCTTAGTGCTATTAGGTGTGAAGACTTATATGAGTTCCTTGGTTATAGAGAGTCTTTGTATAATGGCTTCCTCAGATGTTGGTTGTAGTAGCTATATACTCAGTGTGTGGGCAAGTTCACTGTCTCCTATGGGATTGGAACGGCAGCAGTCTCTTGAAGCTTATCTTATACTGCTGTTATATGTACTTTTATATTTATTCAATTTTTTCCCACTATTTTATTTATTGAGTATCCCCTACCCAGGGATACCACCACAGGCCAGTAGAGGTGGTATCTCTGGGTAGGAACCATTTGTAACTAAAGCAGGTGGATAAATGAAGTACCCAATGTGGTTGGGAGAGTTTTCAATTGGATTCACCTCTTTTATCAATGCTAAGGATGGAAGTTACCTCAGCTCCCATGCCAGGTTGACAGGAAAGCTATGCACTTCCCAGTCTCACTCTTGTCCCAGTGTTCTGAATCTTGAGATCAGACAGGTACCTCTTTTCATCTGTCGAAATGTTGATGTTCCAAGTAGGGAGAAATTGTGACTGCCTCTCATGCAAGCCTGAACCTGGGGAGTGCCCTTCCTGTGGGGACGCAGTCATTCTGAAGTGTTCCAGGAAAGCTGTGTATGGGTGTACCCATACAGAGCTTCTTTAGGAGAAGCCCTAGCTATGTCTGCATTGATGGAAAAGGGGGGAAAGAAGACCCCTTCTCCAAGACCCTTCATGAGCACCAAGGCCACTTGACTGTTGGTGGTAGAGGTTCAGACTTTCCCTACTGAATCTAGCACTGAGATTGTGTCTCTGCTGAAAGAAACTTGCTGCCAGTGTAAAGATCTGGAACTCAAGTCCTGCTAACTGGATATTTTTGTCCTGATGTGATGCTCTTTTCATTACATTATGAGTAAAAGATCCTGAGAGCCAGACTACAGTGACAGATTGCTATTGCTCTTCTGGGTCTAACGACCCAGTGGGGTTGCCCCTCTCTGGGCTAGTGTTGGGGAATATTGGAAAGGGATCCTGTGATGTGACCTGTCTTCATGTCTCCCAGCAGTGGGTACCAGCACCAGTTCTCATGATGGCGTCAGGGAAGTGACATAGACTGTGAGATTCCTTGGTTGCAGATAGCCATTTTGTGTTGGCTTTCTCAAATGCTGGTTATAATGGTAGTGAACTTGTCTCAGGAACAGACTCAAGACTTCTGGTTAGTCAGATAGATGCAGGCAATGGGGTCAGCTGAGATGATAAGTTTTCTTCTTCCTGGGTGCAATGTTATTCTACCTAGGAATGCTGTAATGAACTGCGTTGGCCTCCAGCTCTTGCACAAGAGCACCAGCTGTGAGATTTGAGCTTGCCTTATGTTTCCCTAGGGAGGTATTCTCGTTTCTCAGGTGATGGGCAGGGTCATAGAGTTCCCAAAAGTTTACATCCTTTGTGTTAAGCTACCAGGGTGGGTGGAGGGGCACAACCAGGTTGGGTCAGGGTTAGGCAGGTCTGCATTCTGACTCTCCTGGAGTGGTGCTAGCTGCAGCTGCTCTGAGGGCAAGGAGATGGTTCTCAGGCCAATAGGGTCATGTTGCAGAAGGGAGTATAACTGCCTTTGTTGCGCAGAAGTATTCACACAGGGAGTGGGGAGTAGCAGGTGGCAGTAAGCCTCACTGAGATCCCACACAATTGGCAAGGCAGATCTCAGTTCTACAGTGCTTTGTTGCCCAGGCTGCTGAGTGCAGGTGCTAGGAGCACTGGACTAAGTTCTAAGTAGCCTGTGCTCAGAATTCAGAACTGCCCTGGGACAAAAGTTTTCCTGTAGAGATAGCAACTGTGGCTTTCAAGCTATGCCCCTCCTCATCCAACTGCAAGGCCGGGCACAAGACTTCTGCATTTGTGTCTGCAGCACACTTCTTGCTTGCCCTCCGAGTTCTAACCAAAGGAGTTCATCCCCACTCAAAATAATAACATGAAATTCAGTTGGGAGCTTCTTTCAATCTGTGACCCCTGCCTGAACTAGTTGGCTGACTTCACCGAGGGTCCCCTGTAAGATAAAATAAGAAATGGCCTCCTTCTGTCCATGCTGGAGATTGGGAATGCCTTTGTGCATTTCCCACTGCTGCTGCTTCTACTTTATTTCTCACCTCTCCCTAAATCAGTTAGGCCCCATGGCCTACATTTTCAGATTCCCTGGTAGGAAAGGATATTCTGGAGGCAGTTTCTCCCCTTCTTACACTCTGGGCACTTACAGTTTTTCATCTGTCTTATAGTGTATGCTGCTGCCTACCACTTCTTTCAAAGGGTCTGTGAATTCTTTCAGTTTTTCTATTAAGTTTCTGTATTGCTTCTTGGAAAATAGTTCACAGTGTGAATATCTACACTATTCTGTTCTTCCAAGTGGGAGGGACATGCTAACACTGCCTCTGATCCACAATCTTGGGGAAAAAAATCTCAGATCAGGCTATAAAATCATAGAGAACTAGAATCATATTATAGTTTTTCTTAGGTCCTGGATGACTTTCATTAATATCTTATTATTCTGAATCTCAATTGTCCCTTTCATCAGAGTGTGTGTGAGTAGGGAGAGTACAAAATAAGGGAGCCCTATATAACTAAAGTATCTTGAATGGAGTTCCACAAATGTCATGTTAAGAACATTATTTTCTTTAGTTTCTAAGCGACAGGAATAACTGTTATTGTCCATTGGGTTCAATGGATGAGAAAATTAGACAATTGAAGTATTTTATAAATTCTATCAAACATTCAGATAATGAGCATAATTATTGATATCAATGTTTACCTATTGAAAATTTTAATTCCATTGTTTAGCAATTGTACTAACTATATGTGCAATAGATAGAATTTACATGGATAGATCATATCAAAAGAAAATACAACAAGAATGTGAATATTTTTTTGCTAGCAGTCATCAGTTTTGAACCAGTGGAAAAAATGTCTAAATATTAGGTGGGGCAAACTAATAAAACTGGGTCATGTTTTTATTCAACACAATTCTTTAATTTTACGCTGCAGCTTTGGTGCACTTTCCATCAACCAGAGTTGGTACAACCAGCCTTGGAAAGCTCACTGAAAAAAACATCAACTGGACTATGCTGACCTTTATCTTATTCATTTCCCAATGGCTCTTAAGGTTGGCATTTTTTGAGATCAAACTTCTTTCTCTTCTGTTGCCAGCATGACAATCCTTTACATTGATGGTAGAAGTAAGCTTCTTCTTAGGAGGATGTAGGTATTGTTACATGGAAGAAGAGTCCTAAGTATAATGCCTAACCCCTGTTTTATTGAATAAATAGCGAAACCTTCCTTCTCTAATGTATGATGACAACAGAAGACAGTACATCAACCTCAAAGCCTCTGCCTCAAAAACTTGAGAAAATAACAATAGCCACCTTCAAGGCTCTGTCTTAATTGGGGTTCCTGAGTCCATCTCTTAGGATGTTCACAGATACAGAGATCCATGCAGCTGTGGTATCCCAAAAAACTGCTGCAATATGGTACACAGTGAGTTTCCATTATCTCTCCCCATTTTAAGCTGAAGTAGATTTGGTGGAACTCACTCTGGGTGAGTCTTAAAAAGGAAACCATAATGGGACCTGAGAATCGTTGCCTTCTTCACTAAAGCTTGTTTCACAATGGAGTTTGTAGCTTTGCTTAGTCATGAATTTCGGTTGTGCATAACTTTTAAATTTATAGGGAAAAACTCAGGCTAGTTTATTTAAAGAAGAGTTTATTGCATGATGCAAATGGGTAGTCACTGTCATGAATAAAGATTTGACCTAGACTCTAAAAATGTGACCTTTTCTCCATAATTATCTCTGAACTCCAAGAGGTTTTCTGGATTTTTGTCCCAGCCTTTTTCATTGTTGGCAATGATACCTTTGAGGCAGCTCAAGGCTCATGGTGATTAACATAAGAGAGCCTCCATGGGTCTTACAACTTTCAAATACATGTATTTGACCATGTTTGGTTTATGATCCTGCTCATGTACTATCAAATCTTCAGGGGGATAAGGAACTCTTATTGTATCACCTGGATCAAGAATACAATCCCTTATTGCTGGATATCAAGGACTTTTTGAGTCAAAGAGTGGCATTTCCCCAGAGAAAATTATAGGAGCAGATAAAAGGAGCAGATAAAAGTAACAAAAGTCAACTGTGAAACCCCATTAAAACCTGTAAAATGTTTATTTTATATATATATAATATATACACATATATATTATATATACATACATACACATACATATATATATATATATATATATATAAAATGGAAGTAGGAGATTAAAGGAAACCTGTCTCCTAAAGACATGCCTTAAAACTCCGTACGTGAGACACTTTGCCCACACCACTTTCTAGAACATTGCAGCACCTGGTGGATTATCCTAAAATGTACATGGGAACAAGCCTATGGGTGGAGAAATTAAATTGTGACATTAAAATGACTGCTTCTACTTCAGCCAGGTGAGACGCCACTACCAAAAGATGAAAATGGAAAAGTAATGTTCGACACAGTGGATCTCTGCGCCATATGGGAGGTAAGTGCTAGGAGGACAGAGTACAGAAAAGGAAGACAAGAGGTAAACCTGTTTCCCAGCTTTCATGCGCAACCAGTGGAATCTGCACCACTGGAACTAGAAATTCAGGAGCTTGACAAAGGAAGTTTTGCTGAGTGGCAGGGAAGAACACACGACTGAAATAGAATAGTGGGAAATGAAGGAGATAAATTGGGGACAAGGAAGACAGGTATTCCTCCCCCTCCATGTGCATTTTTCTCTCCAGCTTCCTAAAGAGGATACCCAAATTCTTCTAGCTGTCACTATCCTTTTCTGTTATCTGTTGTAATTCTCTTGAGAATCACTGCTATTTTCATTGTCATATCTTAACAGTTGTTGCTTAACAGTTCTGTCTTGCATTTATCATAATCTGCAGCCAACCTCACAAATAATTCCTCACAACCCCTCCCCAGGCCATGGAGAAGTGTAAGGATGCAGGATTGGCCAAGTCCATCGGGGTGTCAAGCTTCAACCGCAGACAGCTGGAGATGATCCTCAACAACCCAGGACTCAAGTACAAGCCCATCTACAACCAGGTGAGGGCCCTCAGCCTCCTCTCCTTTCTCTTCTCAATGCCCATCTTCCTGTCCTACTGCCTGGCTTCCATTTGTTTTGTTCCACTTACATTTGTGAAATAGAAGATTCTAGAAAGCAAAGCCTCTGTCTAGAAGAACATGGAAGACCCTTAATCGTACCTCTCCTTGGAGAAGTCTTAGTGAAAAAGGTACAGAGACCTTCATGCTGAATTCTGTATACTATTTTTGGAGGAGGTAAATTTCATCAAGGAGGACTGAAATGGTTAATCAGAGCTCGGGGAGAAGGTGGGAGAAGGTGGACTTATCTCTAAGGTTTGAAAAGACCACCAGAGAATGGATTGGTAAAGATGATTTGGAGTATAATGTGTATAATTATAAAGGCCATAAAAACATGGGATGAGCAATAAATCAGGAGAGTGAGAATAAGAGAAGATAGGTACTACGGATTTAAATAAGGTTTAGATGTCTGAATGCTTTTTATTGGCATCTCTGTTTTCATAATTCTTGAGCAGGTACTAAGAACTAACTGGAAACAGTGAAAGTCATCCAGGTTAGGGAGAGGAAGTTACCTGTTTATGAGAGCTGCTTGAGAGAGAAGCTGAAAGGATGTGGCGTGCTACCCCCACCCTTGCCTCGTGTAGAAAAGCCTGCTAATGTTGTCGCATTTAGGCCCAGACCCAAAACGAGAGTCTTATAGCTGGACCACCTGGGAAGAAAAGTTCTAAAGCACAAAAAAGAAAGCATTTCATTTTGGAACACTTTTTTGCAGCTGGAAATAGGGGAATGTACTAACTGACTAAACTACTATCCTGCCATCATTTCAGTCCTTCCACATTGTTATTTCGTGTTTGGACTGTGCTGGAAGAACTGTTTTATACAGGCTGCTATTCAATAAATTTATAAATACCATACCCACCAAAGGATTTAACACAAAAATTAAGGTAACCTTGGAAAATTCTAAAAGAGTCACTTTCCACTCCTGAGATGTAGGTGGTCAGGGGAAATGAGGAACACTGTAGAAGCCATATGCAAGATGCACAGATGGCATTGTGTTTGCTGTGGACTCTGTTGATGTTGAAAGAGTGGAAGAAGTCAAAACTGAACTTTATAAAATAGGGTATAAGAAAATAAAGATGTCCCTGTACTTATGGGTGCTAAGAAACTAGACTTGAAGAACTTGTCTCTCTCAGAAATTGAGAAATTGTTAGCAATGGTTGAACTGAGCTCATCCACTCCTTGGCATTTGCCGCCTACCTGTGCAATCACAGGACATGAAATAAAGGATTTGAGAAACTCCATGATGTGATAATGAGAAGAAAAATATTGCAGTAATATAAAAAGATGAATATGATACCTTTTCTATATATGTGGAATAGATTTCTCTGGTCTGATTTTGACAAACGCAAGACTGTCTAAGCCTGGTTTTCCTGTATGCCCTCCTGCGTGCTATCAAAGCTTCATTTCATTGAACAATCAGATGCCCAACTCTGTGACCTTGTGGAAGATGAGTAAATGCAGTGATGCTTCAAGTGGTCTCCTCCCTAGCCCACAAATATTTCAGTACTAGCATTTTGGGAAGTCAAGCAAGTATACTAAATTAACCAGAACGCAATTGCGGAAATTTGATGCGAAGTTGGTGAAATAAAACTTTAAAGACTGAAAAAAAGAGTTAACTATTTATGGAGATCACTAGTTGTGGTGGATGAAATCAACACTGAGGAAAATTTAGCAGAACATTGAGCCGACCTTGTGACTGCCCACATCTAATTTTGATGCACCTCTTTGCTTTCTGTCATCAAATCAACTGTTGAGAAGCATCTATTCTGCATATGGTTCTGTTCTCTAACTTACTCTTTTACTACTTAGAGTCAATGAGTACAGGTCTACAGCTGAAACATGTAGTATTTAAAATTTATGTATTTGGTAGTATAATACAAAATCTTGATTTCCAATTAAAAAGTTAAGGAATGTGGCTTTAATATTAGTTTTACTCAATTTTTTTATTATGACATTTTCAAATTTTAAAGAAATTTGAAGGGATAATAAAGGACAGCTACATGTTACCATCTATATCCAAAATTGTTGACACTTTGCCAACCTGCAAATATATAGGTATATAATATGAGTAGATCTGCATCAATACATGTAGTCTTTGTTGAATCTCTTCAAAATATATTGTAATGATCACAATTCACCTCTACAGACCTTTCAAAGCATGGCATTGGAATGAAGATATTCTCCCAGTAACAGTGCAATTATTATATGTAAGGAAATAACAATAATGCCTTCATATCATTGATTATCCAGTCAGTATTCAGATTTCCCATTGTTTTATTGAAATGTATCTTATGCCTCTATTTTAACCATAAATAGAAGATGAAAAATTTTTAAAGATACCATATAATAAGATTAAGTACCTGAAATTATACCAAATAAAAGATGTGTATGACCTCTACAGAATTAAAAAATAATGAGAAATGTTAAAGAGTAAATATAAAAGATATATCATGAAAACAAAAAAAAAAATCCAGTTGTGACTTTCAGTTTGTTGTACTTTGATCAGTTAATTTGTTCCAAGTTTTTGAAAGGTAAGTTTCTGTAGATTCGAAGTTATACTTGGATGCTTTATATCATAGAAGTTAAACATTTTTGGTGACAAACTGCCTCTACCTTGCTGTATCCCTGAAATTATACCACAGTAGGCAGCATGAAATGACAGATTGTCCCACAATTAGTAATGCTAATTTTGATCACTTGGTTAAACAAGTGGTAACCAGATCTAATTTCCAGAGATATGTGTTCTCCCCTTTGCAATTACTGGTAATCTGCTGGGTGAAAATAATCAAAAGGGAAAGTTATATTCCACAGCAAATTTTCACATAATGATTGAGTATAATTAATGATGTTTTCAATTTTTGTATTGCAGTATTATTGTATTTGTTCTTTCCTGGGGGCTTTAAAGTAATTACTTTCAATTTTAACTACAAGTTTACTATTCTCATTTTACATTTTATTATGAAAAAATTTTTTTCACTAAGTCAAGAAAAGAAACAATTACTCCTCTTGGATATGCTAAAAAGCTTAACTCTTTCCCTTTAATTATTCATGTCCTGGAAAAAAAATACTGTCATGATTACTGTATTAGTCCATTTTCATGCTACTGATAAAGACATACCCGAGACTGGGAAGAAAAAGAGGTTTAATGGACTTAAAGTTCCATATGGCTGGGGAGGTCTCACAATCATGGCAGAAGGCAAGGAGGAACAAGTCACATCTTACACAGGTGGCGGCAGGCAAAGAAAGAACTTGTGCAGGAAATCTCCTCCTTATAAAATCATCAGATCTCATGAGACTTATTTACTATCTCAAGAACATCACGGGAAAGACCTGCCCCCATGATTTAATTATCTCCCACCAGGTCTCTCCCACAACACATGGGAATTATGGGAGCTACAAGATGAGATTTGGGTGGGGACACATAGCCAAACCGTATCATGCCACCCCTAGCCCCTCCCAAATCTCATGTCCTCACAATTCAAAACCAATCATGCATTCCCAATAGTTTTCCAAAGTCTTATCTGAGACAAGGCAAGTCCCTTCCACCTATGAGCCTGTAAACTCAAAAGCAAGTTAGTTACTTCCAAGATACAATGGGGGTACAGACATTGGGTAAACACAGCTGTTCCATGTGGGAGAAATTGGCCAAAATAAAAGGGCTAACGACCCATGCAAGTCTGAAATCCAGCAGGGCAGTCAAATTTTAAAGCTTCAAAATGATCTCCTTTGACTCCATGTTTCACATCCAGGAGTCAATGGAACTCCATTTACATCCATGCTGATGTAAGAGGTGGTTCCTATGTTCTTGGGCAGCTCCACTCCTGTGGCTGTGCAGGGTACAGCCTCCCTTCTGGCTGCTTTCATGGGCTGGCATTGAGTGTCTGCAACTTTTCCAGGTGCACAGTGCAAGCTGTCAGTGGATCTACCATTCTAGGGTCTGTAGGATGGTGACCCTTTTCTCACAGCTCCATCAGGTGGTGCCCCAGCAGGGACTCTGTGTGGGGGCTCTGACTCCAGAGCACTGCCCTAGCAGAAGTTCACCATGAGAGCACGGGCCTAGTGGTAAACTTCTGCCTGGACATCCAGGCGTTTCTATACATCCTCTGAAATCTGAAATCTAGGTGGAGGTTCCCAAACCTCAATTTTTTTTTTTTTTTTTTTTTTTTTGAGAGAAGTGATGTTTGTGAGAGCAGTTTAAGAACCTGAAAAGCTATACCAAAATGTAATTTTTTTTTTTTTTTTTTTTTTGAGACAGAGTTCTGCTGTCGCCCAGGCCCAGGCTGGAGTGCAGTGGCACGATCTCAGCTCACTGCAACCTCCACCTCCCAAGTTCAAGTGATTCTTCTGCCTCAGCCTCCTGAGTAGCTGGGATTACAGGCACATACCACCACACCTGGTGTGTGGTGTGTATTTTTGCATCTTTAGTAGAGATGGTGTTTCACCACCTTGGTCAGGCTGGTCTCAAACTCCTGACCTTGTGATCTGCCTGTCTCAGCCTCCCAGAGTGCTGGGATTAAAGGCGTGAACCACCATGCCTGGCCCCATGCCTCAATTCTTAACTACTGTGCACCCGTAGGCTCAACACCACATAGAAGCTGCCAAAGGCTTAGGACTTGCACCCTGTGCAGCCACAGCCTGAGCTGTACCCTTGGCCCCTTTTAGTCACAGCAGGAGTGATTGGGATGCAGGGCACCAAGTCCCTAGACTGCACACAGAATGGAGACCCTGGGCCCAGCCCATGAAACCATTTTTTCCTCCTAGGCCTCCACCTCTGGGCCTGTGATGAGAAGGGCTGACACAAAGGTGTCTGACATGCCTTGGAGACATTTTCCCCATTGTCTTGGTGATTAACATTTGGCTCCTTGTTACTTATGCAAATTTCTGCAGCTGGCTTGAATTTCTTCTCAGAAAATGGGTTTTCAATTTTTACTACATCACCAGACTGCAAATTTTCTGAACTTTTATGTTGTTTCCCTTTTAAAACGATGCTTTTAACAGCACCCAAGTCATTTCTTGAATGCTTGGCTTAGAAATTTCTTTGACCAGATACCCTAAATCATCTCTCTCAAATCCAAAGTTCCACAAGTCTC